TTATAATTATAAACTGGTTATTTATTACGGAATTTAGATCCACCGTCCTGTGTATCCTGTATATATCAAAGAAATTTAAGTCTTTTATGACGCCCTCAGCTTAATATCGGTACATTGCATGCGGTATTCAGTCTTTTTTCGGTTCTATTTGTCTAGTTATCCCGAAATTACCTATCTTTCTTCAGGGGAACGTTTTCTGACCCAATTATCCCATATTATTTCCAGGTATTCCTTCATTCCATTGCCCCGTTAGGCGAACCACATAACTGATTATATGACGTCCACAATAATATACAATTGTTTTAGCTATAATAATTACATCCTTATTAACCTATTCAAGGAAAATAGAGGTGAACCAGTTCGAATACAGCGAGAAGGAAATAACATCTAGAATGAGTGAAATATCTGTTACGGGGTATACTCGGAACATTGGCCTTCTTCCCATTTTGACACTGATTGTTCGTTGTGCAATCTATTCGTGAGTTTCGATTGAAATATTTGTATCATTAGCGTCTGTAGACAGTTATTCATTCGTTCGCTTCTGTTGTTACCAGTGTATGTTCAAACCGATTGATGAATTCATCATGACCGTTTTCAGTCGGAATAAGTTCAACTAGTGATGTCTTAACGTGATTCATAAAGCATAACTTTTTTAATTTAAGATGCCCGAGTATCGATTGAATATGTCATGATACTATGTGGATAGTTCGATTATCCCACCCCACTACTCACAAATAACTGTGAGTCAAACTCCAAATGTCTAATTTCATCGGTGCTCTAGGCCAAGTGAGAGTATCGTTCATTCATTCACACAGGCGCGTCCGCGTGACGGTGTTTATCGATCGATCTGAACTAACGTCTCATTTCACTCACCCGCTTACTAGTCAATCGCGATTATCGTCCACCCGTTTGCACGTTAGTGCTACAGAGTCCATCGATAGACCAAACGACCGTGGCTTTGGTGACCACTGTAGCAAAAGTGACCCTATTTCAGTTCAGTGCCCCACAGAATTTAAAAAGCTGCAGATTATAAAGATGCATTTTCAGAAAAATCATAAGTCGTTTGTCTCAGCTTGGCTCTCCGTTGGAAATCAACAAACGCACTGTTTAAATCAATTGTACACTCGAATAATCTACCCGAACTCCGAGCATTAGCCAAGGCAAACAGCTTCAATTGATCCAATAACTTCCACGCCTCTGATTGAGATAACTTCCAGCGCATTCACTGCCTCACATTTATCTTCTTTGCGATGCTCAGCCTATATTTATTATATTTAACACCGGCTTGAACTCAAGCTTGGTGCCAACGCCATAAAAATATTGACAACAATAATAACGAGCGGGGGGGGTTAGGGTACAGAGTATAGAGAAAGAATGTAGCTGGCTGAATGGGAGATTACGAATAAAAGGAATAACAAAATTTTTGGTGTTTCACCGCACATTTTTTTGAATTTTTGTTGTTGTTGTTGTTTTTACGGGGTACGGGATTTCGATAGACAGACCGTACAGCATTCGCGCCACTAACTTCTTTTCTGGGCCATATCTCTCAGCGTCTCTAACCAGCGACAATCCTCATCCCTTGGGCCCCAACTTGGAAGGAGGGCTGCACCAACCGAAGTCAAAGCTGAAGCCAGCTTCCTCATGCCTCTGTGCCATGCCATGGTGTGACTACCGCGTCGCTTCTTCCAGCCTTGCCCGGTACGTGCAAAGAGAGCACGGAAAGGTAGTCGATGGGCAGGCATACGCAATACGTGACCAAGCCATCGGAGGCGGTGTAGACCGACTACTTCTGTAAGAGAACGATTACCCACACCCAACACACGACGACGGACCTCGTCATTGCTCACCCGGTGTTCCCACCAGACACGAGCAATGCTTTGGAGACATCGGTGGTCAAACACAGAAAGTCGATTAGCATCCTCCGCTCGGAGAGGCCAGGTCTCGCAACCGTAAAGCAGAACGCTACGAACTGCGGCGATGTACACCCTTCCCTTAAGGGACAATCGGATGTCATGGCGGTGCCACAGATGTCGCAGGTTGGCGAAAGCTGCTCTATATTTCGCTATTCGTAATGTGATCTCGTCCTCAACACCACCACCAGCTGCAATCAAGCTCCCGAGGTACTTAAAGTTCTCAACTACTTCTTGCTGGTCACCACAGAGGGTGAGTGCAGGCACAGGCTTCTGCCAGTCTTGAATCAGCACTTTGCGCTTAGAAGGTGCAAAGCACGTATCAAATCTGGCTACCTCGATCACCAAGCGGTTCAAAGCCTCTTGGACTGCCTGTGTGTTGTCACCCAGCAAGGCGATGTCATCAGCATACTCCAAATCAAAAACTCTATTCCCTGGGAGGAATTCGACTCCACCGTTTGCTAGACAGGACAAAGCATTCTGTAGAACATCCTCTATGACAAAGTTGAAAAGGAATGGGGATACAGGGCAGCCTTGTCGAACTCCACTGGAGACGGCGAAGGGTGGCGAAAGCTGGCCATAGGCCCTAACCCGACCTGAGGTATGACGATACAACTCTTTGAGGATCGACACATACTTCTCAAGTACTCCATTCCTCAACAAATAGTTCCATAGTGCGGTCCTATCGACAGAGTCGAAGGCCGCGCGAATGTCTAAGAATACAGTGACCGTTGGTCTTTGGTAGGCATGACGGTGCTCTAGCAGCTGTCGGAGGGTGAAGATTTGATCGATGCATCCACGACCAGCGCGAAACCCAGCCTGCTCTTCACGCATAGTGTACAACCGGCGGAGAATGACGGACGCCAACAGCATCGACGCTATCGGTATTAGGCTTGTACCCCTGTG